CTGCATCAGGTAAAATCATACACCAGTCAGTAAGGCTGCATCGACCAAACACTGAATTGTGCAGCAGGCTACAAGAAGGTTTGCAAGGGAGGATGTTACAGAGACTTTGTGATGCAAAATGAAAGATATATTCCTTGTACAATAGGCGGCTGGAAAGCAAGCATGGAAGCAAGTAGGGAGAGAGGTGGACAAATGGTTAGAAAGTCTGAGACAATTCTAGGTATGGAAAATCAGATGTGTAGAATGGATCAGAGTTAAGAAGCTGCTTGTGTAATAAAATGCCCTGCAGTATTTTGCTGTTAGTAACAAACAGTTTAAGTAACAGCCAGACAGTTAAAGCCATTTTTTTGTCTTCACCTCCTCTAACCCAAATTGTGGCCTGACTTTAACAGTGCTTCAGGCCTGGCCTCATCACCAGCTGTGGTTCTGTCCATACATGGCATCCCAAACAGTCTGGATCCAGACTGCATGCTACATTTGCTCTCAGCCTCTCTCTCCTAGGTCTAGGTTGTCCCTGAATATATTTATTTGTTTTCTCTGCAGCTTCTGAAAGACACTTCAGTCTTTCATGTGCATCCTATCAGCCTGTGCACACCCCACACCTCCTCTGGGACACTCCCTTGAACAAATGCGTTTTGTGCTGGACTGAATAGCACATCTGAATGACAAATGAGCACTGACTGAAAAGAACAAATCTGAACTGAACTGGTATCATCCCAGTTTGTTTAGACAAGGCAGGTGACCATACTTAAACTGAGGCTTTCTCTGATCTAAATACTTGCAATCAGTACTTCTGAAAGAAGGAGCCCATCACTGAATTATTTAATTTTCACAGCTACAGATTAGGAGGCAAGAACCTGTCACAATCTAGTCACATACTTCACCCCTGCTTAACAAGAGTACAACAAAAGCATGTTTCTTCACTCAGAGACCTTCCTAACTAAATATACTATGAAGAGCCTTTTCCTGAGATTCTTCCCTTTCAGTTCTTTAGAATCACTCCATGAGCTTCTTTCAAAAGTGAGGATTAGAAAATTAGAACAAACCCCAAGAACTTTTCATTCCATGTTAGATATTGAGCACTTCTAAGCAGAAGTTTAAGATATTTGGTTCATATTTTTGCCAGTTGGCCTCTCTTCAGAAGGCATACACTATTGTTTTGTTTAATTTTGCTTGTGGCTGATGGAGCTGCTGCCAAATAGGAATCAGATTTGGGCAGACAGACTACCAGCGTCTCCCAGACACAAGGGGTAATGAGCACGCCAACTAAACGAGAGCAGAAAAACTGCTGTCTTCTGATGTGGGATTGTTCCAGTGGGATTGTTCCAGTTCCAGGTGGTTTTGAAGGAGCTTGTTCTTAATGCTTCTAAGAGCAGGGCACACCTGAACTGAGTGCCTGTGGGAGGGGGACAAGAGCTTGTGAACAGCTGCTAGAAAAACATCTTTGCCAGTCCACCTGATGTAAAATCTTACATTTTTGTTACATTTTACTCTTTGAGTTCCCACTGCTGCTGCAAGCCTTGCTCTTGGTTCCTGCTTGTCATTACTGTCTGTTCAAAACTGCCCCCAGGAAAGCTGAGTCCCCCTTTTCATCCAAGAATTTGGATGTCATTTATAATAAGTTTCTGGTGGTGGTACTGACAGTCCTCTCCATTGGGATGGGTCTTAGCTTGTGAAGTTTAAGTTCTCTGAACCAAATATGCTGTTACTGGCACAAGGATTTCTTGTCAGCGTGCTTTTTCTTACACAACAAAGCAGGAATGTCACAAAACCAAAATACTTTCTCTTGAATTTGTACAACAGTGTACAGACCCAAGGTCTGGCATGCAGGGTCAGGGCTGCAGCAGACAGCCCTGGCAGAAAGCCCCAGTGAGCCACACGTGCCCCAGCTGCAGTTCAGCATCCTTTTTTCCTCCATCCTTTTATCTTTCAGTGCCTGACAATCAGCAGCACATGACTGATCTGAGTTTTGTGTCATACTGACAGAGATGCAGTCAAGGCTTTAGAAAGGATACAGCAGCACAGTGTAAGGCAAGCCTAAGGGCTTTCTTTCAAAAATTATGGGTTTTATCTGTGAAGGAGAAGTTGATAGGCAGCACATGAGGGTCACCTATCTGATAGTCAAGAAGCAGCAACTGGGTTAGAGATGAGATATGACAAACCCTGGCCTCCTATGCCTGTGATCAGCTTCTGGGAACTTCAGTATTTCATGACTGTGCTGGATGCTGACTTGGCAGCAGCTGGGAAAGGATGAGTAGGGAAAAAAGGGGAAAAAATTACAGTGAGGAACAAAAAACCTGAAATGGAAGTCTTTAGCGGTCCACCCCTGCAGCACAGCAACCCATCTTTCCTCTGGCATACACATCTATAGGTAGACCAGATCCATCTCAGAAAATGATCTAGTTTGCAAGCATTAAAAAATTAAATGTTTGCAGTTAGAATCTGAATTTATATTAAAAAGGGTCTTGTACCATGTTAGTTAACCACAATGTAAAGTGAGTATCTCCAGTTAAGGCAGCTGAGCTACATCTCCTCCAGGTATTTTCTGTAGGATTATGAATAATACACGCGGGTGGAGTCTTGCCATAGTGATGTCTCCTTTTCTTTTACAACCTTTAACCAGTGGGGAAGTCAGCTCTCATAACTGTACAAGCTTATTGCTCACCCTTCAAGTAAAACTTTTTAATTATACTTATCCTGAATTATCAAGCATAAGAAAATAATTATGTATGTTGATGCCACAGCATGTGCAGTGTTTGTGACAAATTAGTGGCAAATGGGACAGAAGTGCAGCAGCACTGCATGTCAGAGAATATCCCCTATCTCCCTGAGCAAGCACAGATAGCGTATTTTACCAACTCACAGCCTCCCCTTACGCAAGATTAGTCTGTCTGAGAAAAGAGATAAGATTGTCCTTGAAGACTGAAAGAAAATCAAGACGAAACTGTTTTTTGCTTTGTTCTGATTGTGTTTTTTTTTTTATCTTTTGCAGTTAATGAATCAGCAAGGAAAGTTATCCTTTAAAGAATACCAATTTAATCTCAAAGTCATTGGTCACAAAATACTTATCAGATGAGAACTAGAAAAAGAAAGTCATAGTTGCCAGTTTGGAAGTCCTGCACAGTAGAAAATTTATTGTTAATTTAAAAGGCACATTAATTTCCACGCAACCCTTAGCAAAATGACACTATGCTTAAGACATGGCTCAATAATGTGATACAGTCTTGGGAGAAGGACATAAACACTTTGGGTTTGTTTTGCTTCAGTTCAGGAAAAGCATTTTGTATAGGAATTAAATGCCCTTCATGCCACATCAGGACAAGACTGAGCATCGATAATACTGCTGTTCAATGTCACATCAACTGAGCGTAGCCATTGGGTTAGATCCTCTAGCATTTTTGTGTAGATGGAATTTCCTCCTAATGATGAAGCTAACGATCTGAGGAACTGGAATACTGGGTGGAAAGCAGCAGATAACCTGACTTTGCCTATAGCAGGACTTTCCACTTAAACCAGATTTCTGTTTGCCTTGAAATTCCAGTTCTAAGAGGAAGAGAGCACACCCTGCAAAATTCTGGCAGCTTCTTGGCTGTTCCTCACTAGACCTTGAGCTTTGGGATAACAAACTCATCTTGAAAATCCATCATCACACAAATATATAGATTCAAACCACTGCTGGAATTTTTACAAGGTGCAATGGTTGCTGAGAATCTGTATTTGGCTAACAGACATGTCCAGGCACTTATCCACTGCTTGTTTGGACAAGTTAGTTGTCACGGGAAATTAGCATCATGCTCCCTCTGCTCTAGCCTAGCTTTAAGCACTATCTACCTGCAGTGCTCATGTTCTCTAACAAATCTTTTCACTATTCAAATATCATTTTAAAATGCCACCATGGGCAAAGAAGAAACCTGAGAATTATAAACAGGAATCACACCAGAAACTAACCAGTTCTAGTTGAAGTGTATCAAGTAATAAGCACCTATCAAAATAGCATACTTCCAAATAGTCTGCAGATACTCAGAATTATAGAATGGGAGATGACAGGAATACAGGACCATACGGCAGCATCCAGTTCTCTATGGAGGTAAAGTTTCATCTTAGTTTCCCCTCCTAAATAACAGTGAAAACAAACCCCCAGCTGAAAAGGCACAAATGATCATTGCACATCAAAACTAGTATCCAAAAGTGTCATTACTATTAGCCAGGCAACCAACACTTTTATTATTGTGTCCCTGAATCTGTGCGGATTCTAAGGAAGTTTCTGCCTTGAAATAAACTCACCTATAATGTTTTCTGCAGCTAACATATGCTGCAGCTGCTTTTACGGAAGTACAGGGTTGCTACCACAAGTCTCACAGCTGTTTGTCCCCAAACAAGGCTAATGTTTCAGAACCAGAGCTCAGAAGCAGGGCTCCAGCAGGCTGGGGCTGCCCGGCCTCGTCCCAAGCAGCCAGGGCTGCTCCTCAGAACTGCCCCATGTGTCTGAGGGGAAGTCAGAGCTGTTTGACATCTGCAGTCAGATAAAACCTACATTTTTAGTGGCAGTAGGTATCCGTCGCTTTGCAGACTCGTTGCTGGGAACAGGCTCTGCTCCTCCAGCTCTGTCTCCTCAATTCTTCACTTCCACAAGCCACATGTTTTGTTTACCACAACCCGACGGTTTTCGTGGACTGACCGTATAAACACTGGGCAAGGGGTAAAACGGGCGATGGACAAGATGAGGAGGGACATAGATGAGAACAAAAAAAAGCCACCGGCAAAGCACAGGCCGAGCCCTCTGCTTCCCACGGACCCTGGGCGTGGCTCTTGCTGTCCCAGCTGCTGCCAGGCCCTATCCCCCTTTGTCCCTCGGCCCGGGCACTGTTCTATTCTGTTCCGTTCCGTTCCGCCCGACGCCGCGGGCCCGGTCTCAGTCCCTCCACCCCGCAGCGAGCAGTGTAGCCACCGCGGCGCGCACCCGCCTGCCTCCCGGCCGCTGCCTCACACCCGCGCGCGGTGCTCCGCGGCCGTTGCCCGGAGCCCGTTAGGGGGCGCTGCGGAGACCAACGGTCCGCGCTGCTCGGCGGCCAAAATGGCGGCGTTGGCGGCAGCCCGCGTCGTGGTGTGGTAGTGTCCCCGGCCGCCGCGGGCCGGGCAGCGGAGCGGGCGCGGCTGGCGGTGCGTGGGGATGCCGACTCGCTCGGGGGCAGGGGCGGAGGGGGCGCTCAGGGCTCGCTTTTCGCGTGGGGCGGCCTCGGGGCTGGGGGAGGGGCGGCTGGAGCGCCGCGTGGGGGAGCGAGGCTGATGCGGGGGAAGAGCGGGGGGACGGGGCCTTTCGCCTGTTCGCCGTCATTCCTCCTCTTCCCCCCTCACGGCGTGTAGCGGCGGCGGCTATGGTGAGTCAGCAGTGGCCCCCTCCCGCTTGCCCCCCCGCGGTGACTCTGCAGCACCACCTCTGCTGGTCATGCTCGGGCATGTCGGGCCGCAGCCGGCCAAGGAGCTAAGCCCCGACTTGCCTCCTCCTGGCAGCGCTATATAAAGCCCGGCCTGCCCCGACCCGACTAGGTCCAGATACCCGGCGCCGGAGTCTGGCGTGTGGGCTGGACGAGGCCACCGAGGTGAGTGGACCTCGCCGGGGTCGTCGGAGCGTCGCGCCCACTGCGGGGGGACCTGGGTTGTGTGGCTGTGTGTCCCCTTCTAACGTTGTTCTGTATTTATTGCAGGCAAATGTGCAATACCAAGATGTCGTCCCTTATGGATGCCTCTTCTGTCACCGCTTCGGAGCAAGAGGCGCTGGTCAGTAGCTCTGTTGGACGCGAGTTTTTCCCGCTTTTTGCAGTTTTTATCTGCTAATTCAGAAGCGATGTGGTGCTCGGCGAGCTGTGGTTAGAGAAAAGCTAGGCAATCCGGTGAAGATGGGCCTCTTTGATTCTGTAATTGTGAAGCAGATCTGTCTCATTCGTGGCTGAGAGTTGGAGGTGATGGTTCAGGTCTAGACCCTGTTTCCTGGAGGCACTTGATGGTCAGGTTGCTTGCTTTTAATGAAAAAAAAATCTTACGGTCCGATTTGATCATGTTAGCACTTCATAACTGAAGAATTGTGGAAAATCTCTGTAATGCAAAATGTTTTTTAAATGGTCTTGTAATTACAAGTGAAGGGTTTCGAATTTGGCATTTTCATTTTCTGTTCTACTGAAATTCATAATGTAGTTTGTAATAAGAGTCTTCGCTTGTGTTTATGGCTCTGCATATCCAGGCTTTCAGGACGTTTCTGCTTCCCTGGGCTCTGTGTAAGTTTTTCCAGGACAGAAGCCTGTGTTAGAGCAGACACACGAATTAAAACCGGCATGTGTGCACTGACGTTGAAATGGAACTTTGCGAGAAGGGTGAAGCTTAAAAGTGTAGGCTGATAGCAGAACTTCAAAAAAGTGAAGTAACAGCAGCAGGCTGTTCAAAGTTGGGGGTTTTTTTTTTTGGTTGTTTGGTTTTCCGTTTGTTTCTTGCTGGTTTTAAATCATCATAATAGTGATGCTAACTGTCTGCTGTCATATCTGCTTCACAGAAGAGCTTCATATTTGCAGGAGCTAGGGAGAGAGGGTTAGGGAGTAAAAGGATCTGTACCCTTGGGTCTAGTTGTGGATTCGAAGATCTGGAACTCTGCTTTGCCTTCCTGTGCTTAGATGTCTTTATCAGTTTCATAAACTACTGTTTGCTTCCTTTATGGAACTGTAATGTATATGCCCCATGCTCTAAATAATTCAGCACTTAGGAAGCAGTGAATAGACTTTTAAGGTCCACAAGGTTTTTTATTGTTTTAGCTATGTGTGATTCTTGCAACTAATCTCTTGTTAATGCACTAAAGCTTAATGTTGGTTTTAGCAGATACTTGAAATGGAATGTATTCAACGCTCCCCCAAAAGCGTTCAGTCCTTGTTTCATGATACTTTTTGGTATTCATGACATTTTTATGATACTCATGATAATTTCATGATTATTCACACTTTTCTATAAAATGTGTACTTCCTAGAATTTGTTTTATTTTAGGGAACGTATTAGGATAGCGAATATTAGCTTATTCTGAGAATTATTATGCTATTGTTAAATATACTGCACTGGGAACTGTCAGTGGCTCCACAGGCATTTTCTTTGCAGTTGTGGCAGCCTGTGCAGCCTGTTCTCGTGTCCTGAACTAGTACTGGCACAGACAATTGTGGAACAGTGCAGTGACTGGGACCAGGACATTGCTCTGACCAGGAGGAGCAAAAGAAAAATTTTTAACTTTTCCCTCCTCTACCTCAAAATTTTTCATAAACTGACTGCAGATACAGCTCTGCTGGCACAGTGAGTGTGTGGGAGGCCATTGTGGAGGTAGGAGTAATTGAATTATGATGGACAGCACAAGGTGTGTGCTTACCCCAGCTGAGAAAAGTCTTCAGAGGTAAAGCAGCCCCAGAAAGGAAGAGACTAGGGAAAGAGGTGGACCAGTGTTTTACTTCATGACTTGCATTATGGATCTGCCAGTTGGAAAGGTTCATTTACCTTCCTCCCCTTTGGGAGTCAGTGTTGTGACTAAAGGAGTGGAGCTGAATTCCCCAGCACCTAGATCTGTACTAGGAGCTACCAAAGGAATCCCTAGGCTAAAATCAAGAGTATGTGTGTACCAGTGAAAGATTGGGGGCTATTAAGATGTGTATGGGAATTTACTATGCTTAGGTTTGTGTTATTTTCTTTTAACTTTGCAAAAATAACTTGGATATAGATAGATTTTAATGTGTGTTTATATATCAGATTAATAGAGAAGGTGGAAGCCAACCTGTATGAAGAATTTTGTTTGGTGAATAATTGGTGCATACTGTTTTTCTTCTTCTGCACACAGGTTAAGCCAAAGCCACTGTTGTTGAAGTTGTTAAAGTTAGCTGGTGCAGAAAAGGACACTTTTACTATGAAGGAGGTGAGAACTTTTTGGTAGACCACAGTGAATAGCGTGTTCTTTTGTTTTGCATGAACAGGTGAGCGGGTGGGATAGGACTGTGTAGTTCGAAGCTTGTCTAGAAGACACAGAGGCAATGGACTGGTTTTATTCTGCCGAATTGTCAGGTGCTGTTTAGCCAGTTTCAAAATCTGAACAAATGTATCTGGTGGTGAGCAGAATAGCAGAGTTCTTGGGGATAAAGGACAGATGAAAATCACAGCTCAGGGAGTTTTAGGGAATCAAAGTGAGAAAAGCAAATGTCAATGAATTTAATGTGTTTTCTCTTAAAACAACAGAACCTGGGTATTTAATGTCTTTGTATATTGTTTATTTTACAGGTAATATTCTATCTTGGACAATATATTATGTCTAAACAGTTATATGATGAAAAACAGCAACATATTGTACACTGTGCAAATGATCTCCTGGGGGATTTATTTGGAGTAACAAGCTTTTCAGTAAAAGAGCACAGGTAAAACAGGATTCTTTTTGGAAAGTCTGGAGAACATAATGCATATGGCCTTTCTAAACTCTTTGCATCTTCAAAGATGGTAAGCTTTCTTTTATAATTACATGTAGTTAACTTGCAACATCTTTTTTTGTCCCCATCTAAGGAGACTATATTCAATGATTTCCAGAAATCTGATAGCAGTCAATCAACAAGGTAAGCTAGTCTGGGAGAATTTCTCCATAATTAGCTAAAAAGGCTTTACATACTACTGCCCAGATCAGTCACAAATAGTGAATCAAAGCAAACACTCTTTCTTCTGGAGAAGAAAAACGGAACAGTGTTTGGGTAATTTTGTTGGACTGGAACCAGAACAAACTCATTCAGAGCTGAGCCCAGAGGACACAATTGGAAAATTAGTTGTTTGCTTGTTTTTCTTACAGATAAAGCCCTCAACAACAGAAAAGGTTTTAATATGAAAAGTTATCATCTTGAACTTGTGCCAGTTTAATTTGTGCTGGTTTAATTTTCAAAACTGTATGTGAAATGCATTTAGAACTGGTCACCCTCAGCTACAGAGTCCTGTTTCAAAAGATCTGTATGCTTTAAAGAGTAGTTTGTGATTACTTGGTCGTTAGACACTCTATAAGTGGAGAATTGTTCCATACAGTCATCTTTCCTGCAGTGCAAAAAAGTTCAATATAGCTGTAATTTTTGACTAACACAGGGAGCGAACTCGAAGTTAAACAGTGGAAACCATTCTGTAAACTGGCTTCTAAATCCATGTTAAGACATCCTTTGTTTCTGATACTGCCTAAAAGCAGTTCAGCTGCTGAAGATGGGAAACGTGCTTTCTTTATTATCTCTTACTGTTATGCTTGCAAACTGAAATTACTTCTCAAATTCTTGAAAGATCATTCAGGGTCTGTCTGGTAGTAAGCATATATAATTAACAAGAGTTAATTTTTCTTTTATTTTGTGTCTTTTTAATTCAGTGTTCCCATAAGACTATAGCTAGTATACTTCTCCAAAGAAGTGTAAAATATTTCTTGCCTAATATCCTTTTGTATCTGCAGAATCAGATACAAAATCAGAATCAGCTAATGCACAGCCTTCATTTGAAGGCGCTTCTAATAAAATTGAGCTACTTTATGGCTGAGATTTCTTTTTTGTTCACGCTTTCCCACTTCAGTTATGTTACAGGCCAAGTGGTGCACACAGCTGAAAAGCAAAAGAATAGGGTTATTTTTTCCATTTTTGCAAAATGACAAATGGGTTGTAAGTTCTGCTTTGCAAATGCTGTGTGCAGTTAACGTTTATTTTTCCCTTGCTTTTATTCTAATGTTTTTGAGCCTGAAATTGACTTCTGCTGTGTTCTAATATGGGTTTTGGTTTGATTTGATTTCAGACTCTACACTTGCTAACACACCTGAGGATGATGCAAGGCTTCAGCTGGAAGAAAATATTCTTAAGGTGATTTTTTTTTAATTAATAAATGTTCTTATTGTAAAATCTGTTTAGTTTTGCATGGTGATGTCAGTGGTTTAGATGCAGTTAGTTGATTTGAGCCTTTTACCTCCTATTCATGCTCAGGCTTACTCAGTATTTCTGTTAACTAGGAATCTGTGCAAGAGTTGGAAGAGAAGCAGACTTCATCAAACGTGACTTCCCGACCAACTACATCTTCTCGGAGGAGGACACACACTGAATCTGGTACGTGCACTTTCATGGTGCAGAGCTTTCAGTAGCATGGCCATGTAGGAAAAGAAGTACATTCTGTTGCCTTCCTGGCTTTGAAAGATGCTGACAAATATTATTCATGTTTCTCTATTCATCTAAACCAAAATGTTTCATCTAGAAGAAAATACAGGATTCCTTGCATTGCTCCAGTGTCACATTACACTTTGGATCTCTAAAACCATTAGTAAGATGATGGAATAAATTGTTCCACAGATCTGTTAAACTTGTCCACATCAGCAGGACTTAACCAGTTGCGTTCTCTTCGTGATGAGAACACTTCTTTATAATGACTGATGTCATTAAATTCATTCAGTTCCCTCTGTAGACAGCCACAAAACTTTACATTCCGTTTGCTCTCTAAAACCAGTTTTCATTGGATTTCAGTTGGTGGCCGACATCAAAGGTCTGGTAGTAATGTGGGACGATTTTGGGTATGTTTTGGGTATGTTTAGACTATCCATGAAGCACTTTCTAAACCATCTGGTGACTTAAGCATCGTATTTTTCTCTTCTTTCCATTTACTGTGGTTATTCAAGAATCACTGGCAAATACAGTTTAAAAATGTGGACTGTTTCTTCCCATAATTAGCAAATACAAAAGCTGATCAGCATAAACTTGAATAACTTCAAGTTTCTCAATAGAAGTGCTCTCTACAGTTCTACTTCAGCACTGTTCTGTGGAATTGCTTACGTTAGTTTGTTCCATCACTTCTGCTACCTCATAATTTGGTGGTTATAATTACCCAGGCAGTGATAATCTGTTGCTGCATAGAATCTCCCCTTTTACAGTTCCTCAGGAACATTTTTCAGTTCCTCAGCTGTTGTGTAGTATTTTTTGTGTTCATTGTAGGCTACTGTTACAGTCCAAACACTGTGCTGCATTGCTGAGTGGTTTGCACTACATTAAAAGAACGTTTTAATGTTGTAACAAAAGCTGATGAAGGGATGGAAAGCTTCAGTTAAGCATCACAACCTGTAATATTTAAGCATCACCCAGAGCACGTAAGGTCCTGTGTTGTGCTTACTTATTGTAGGTTTGATTATTAACTCTTGTCTTTGCATCCATTTATTGGTTTGTTGCAACCTTAAAGGTTCTTTTAATATAGTGTTTTTATATACACTTTTTTTCTAATTTATAGGAAATCTTCCTTTTAAACCACTATTCTTGTTAAATTGGGATGGTAGCGGCTCCTTTGGAGCCGCTTACATAGTGTATAGAAACCTTGTGGTGGTACAATATCAGTACAGCATGGAGCCATGACAACTAAATGAGGACAACGATGGACAGGAGCAACCCTTGGGCCTGGGGGCACCAAATTTGGTGGGGCTCTCAGGGCGGAAAAAGAAAAGAGAGGGGCTGAGCCAAGAAGCACCAAGGGAAAGTAAGAGAAGTCTCAAAGTATGTACAAGTGTTTCGTTCTCTTTTCTTTTACAATGAAAGATTCAACACTTGAAGACTCGTGGATTGTCAGGGTGTATTTTGCAAAGCAAGGGAGAAGCTGGCCAGTAAGGGGTGGGTGCAGAAGGCCCCTGGAGGGGGCAGCAGGCTCTTACCCAAATCTCTTGAGACAAGTTATGAGGCCTCTTTGCGGGGGGGGGTGTCACTCAGCTGCACTTACATACTGACTTTGCAGTGCCTTTTTTAGTAAAATTGTTTCTTACAAACACTCTGAAAGTCAGTGGAGCTGAAGTTTGACTTACCCATGCCTAAAGTTCTGTCCCCCTACTCCTGATGCTGTAGGTGGTCATTTCAAAACATGATGTATTTAAAAAGCACTGTCTTTTGGCCTTCAAATCGAGCATCTTTAATAAGCACAGCTTAAAGCAGTGTTCTCAGAGTTCTGTTTACCATAGTATGCCTTGAAGATTTCCTTGCCAGTGCATGGTGGAAGTCGTAATGGTTTGTTACAAAAATCCTGCTGAGTAGATAAAATTACAGTGCAACTGTTAACTGATAGATTTGTTAAGGTGCCTGAAACTTAAACCTGAATTTACCTTGCACAGCCTGAGGCCCTTTGTATGCATGTGACCTGGGAGCTAGTCACTCTGTCTCCCTGAAAATTCTGGGATGGACTCAAGCCCTCTGAAAGTACCTTTCTGTCTACTGACTGTAAAGGTTGCTGGGACAATTAAGATCCTAACTGTATTAAAATTAGGGTGGGTTTAATGTGTCATGTGTGAAATGGAGTAAAAATGCTTCCAAACTTAATTACATCATTGTTATTTCCAGCATCTGGAAGGTGCCATTTACAAGCTGTGCTGATGGGACAAGTGGGAAAAGCCAGTCCCTGAAAAACTGGTTTCAGGAATGTCGCTATTTTCACGTTCTTTACTGTTACTAAACTTTCAGTGCCTTTACATTTTTCCGCCCCATAAAATTATACTGAATGACTTTATTTTTCTTAAATTCTTATCTAAGCAAATTTGTATTTTAAGTTTTAATATTTTAAATAGTAAAAACTGCACATAGCATAGATGCTTTTTGACTAATAAAAATTCTTGGATATGCCCAGAAGAAGATTCTTCAGATGATGTACACAACAGAAGAAAACGACACAAGTCGGACAGCATTTCATTGACGTTTGATGAAAGTCTCTCATGGTGTGTAGTCAGTGGTCTGTGCCGTGAAAGAAGCAATAGCAGCAGTTCCACAGATTCACTCTTCATCCCTGTAAGTCAAAATATCTTCTTTGTGGTACAAATTATGCAGATACTGGAAGTGCAGATGATGCATCTTCAAACATTGTGGTTTTAATTAAAAGCAGTAGTGCCTTCAGCAGTGTCTGGGGAGAGTAGAGGGGCTGAAAGTTGATGTGTGGGTAGAGTGGAGTCTTACATACATCTGCTGACAAAGTTGAACGATAACTTTTAGTGTTCTTTTTAGTTTAAAAAATCAGATTCTTCCTGCTTGGCAGAGTATTGAAAACATGTCAGATAGATTTTATGTTGTAAAATAAATATTGCTTACAATGCTAAGAGAATAAAAGCATTCACAGACATTCTGTGATTCAGAATAGTTGGTAGTTCCAGTACAGTGGTAGTAACTGCCTTGATGAGCTGTGTTCATTTTCCAAGCCTTTACTGGTTTTTATTGTTTTCAGCAAACACTGAGGTAAATAATCTGTGGCTAGATTAAGTCATGAAGAGCTGAACTAACAGGATTCCTGGTCATACACTGTATTCTGAATTGATAGAACTAATACTGTGCCTTCACTCTTGCTTTTTTACAGTTGTTTAGCTGCTGTCTTGAAGTTGACAAGAATAGAGAATTTAATGACACACAGCCAAAAGACAGCATCTTCTTGCATTTGTTCTTTCACTTTTTAGGAGAGCCTTTGTGAAACAGTAGCTGCAGTGTTTAAGCTGGCTCTAGGATGACTACAGCTTCTTATTACAGAGCTGACAAAAGGCTCTCAGATCTGGCTTTATCTTTACCTATGTACAATTTGTTTGGCTCATAAAGCAGAGAAGAGAAGGCTGCGTGGAGACCTCATAGCAGCCTTCCGGTATCTGAAGGGGGTCTATAGGGATGCTGGGGATGGACTCTTCATTAGGTACTGTAATGATAGGACAAGGGGTAACGGGTTAAAACTTAAACAGGGGAAGTTTAGATTGGATATAAGGAAGAAGTTCTTTACTGTAAGGGTGGTGAGGCACTGGAATGTGTTGCCCAGGGAAGCTGTGAATGCTTCATCCCTGGTGGTATTCAAGGCCAGGTTGAACAGAGCCACGGTGCCCCTGCAGGGGGTTGGAACTGGATGATCTTAAGGTCCTTTCCAACCCTAACTATTCTATGATTTTATGATGGTATGAAAAGATGTTCTGTCTAGCAGCAGTGGTCTCCTTTCTTCCATAGCTAATTAAACTGAGTACTTCAGTTTTATCATAGGAGCTATGTTAACAATACTGGTTATGGACATGCAGTGTAAGGCTGAATGTGTGCTCTCTCTTTTTTTTTCAGGATCTTGATGCCAGTTCCTTAAGTGAAAACTCTGACTGGTTTGACCACAGTTCTGTTTCAGACCAGTTCAGTGTAGAGTTTGAAGTTGAGTCTATTTATTCAGAAGATTATAGCCATAATGAAGAAGGGCAGGAGCTGACAGATGAAGATGATGAGGTATAAATTTGTTTTGTTGGGAGTTTTGGTTTGGTTTTGTTTTTTTTTTTTGACTGGCAGAGGTTGGAGAGAGGGGGAAAGGTACAGGAATACTTCTTGTTGAGATCCCAACAAGAAGCAGTAACTTCAGGTGTATTTCAGGACTCTGTGTGCTATGTCTTAAACTGCACCCTGTAATTTATTAAATTAAACTACATGCCTGCGCATTTGGCTAAACCCACCAGGCAGTAACCAGGACAGTGCTGAGACTTTCCCCGGGCTCTGAAGTTGGCTCTTGACAGCCTGGAGAAGTCTGTTGGTTTAACTTCATTCACTGGCTGGTGAAGTTTATGGCAGTGTGTATACTAGAGTCTGTTTCTATGTTCTTAATTGCAGAAGTGTGTGTTGAGCTTTGATAAAACTTTTGATACCAAATAAGAAATTTCCTAGTAAGTATTTGCAAAGGGGTATTTCTGAATCATTTGCCTCCATAAACATGAATGTTTCATATAGAGATGTTGAAGTACTATTCTAGAAGTTTTCGTTGGGGAGCAAAAAGAGTAAAATTGTGGTTACCATCATTTTCAAGAGATCTAGGTATTAAGAATGAAGTGGGAAATTATTTTTTTATTCTGGGTTAGTTTTCTGTTACATCAAAGAGGTGAATCAGCTCATGGCAAGATTGGGGAAAATACCAGAGGCAGAATTTGCCTGGAATGTACATGACTGATGCTTGAGAGGCTGAATGGGACTGCCTGTGCTGATGTACACCAGGTTATGGTGCTGTGGAGCTGCACTGGGGTTTCTTCAGTCTGAGCAGACACAGCCCTCTGAGCCTTTACTCGTGTGAGAGCTCCTTTCATACCTTAATATGTGGCCCTTGACTGGAATCTCTCCAGTAGCTCTGTATCTGATGTGTGGGGCAGCCCAGAGCTTGCCACGGCACTCCAGGTGTGTGTGTCCTCACCAGTGTTGAGCCAGAGGGGAAGGATCCCCTCCGCTCTAGAAAGCAGTGCTGTCTGTTCAGTCTGTGTTTTTCTTCAAACTGTGTTACAAGTGGAAAGAGAATTTTCTTCCCCCAAACCAGATTGTGTGGAGTTAACCTGCTAATATAAATTAGCATATGTGCTACTTACTGCAGTTGATTGAAAGTCTATCAGAAAATCTGTCACACTAAAGATCTGTCAGATTTTAAATTGAATGCCCCAAGCCAGTTACATAAGTACATTTTTTGTTGTTATTTAAACCAGATATATCAGCTGACTGTTTACCAGGATGAAGATAGCGATGCTGATTCATTTGATGAAGATCCAGAGATTTCTCTAGCTGTGAGTAAAACCTTGACTGGCAAAGTGTCATAAGTTGGTGAACTGACAGTAAATCAGGGAGTATAGATGAATTCTGTTGCTGCTAGTTACTGGTTTTAGAATTAATTTGACTTCTGTGCTTGAAGATTCCAAGACAGTATTTTAATTACTGAATATGGGATTATTAAGGATCCTTGATACATAGATATATAGATATATATATATATACACACACACTTCTTTTTTTTGTCTTAGTAAGCTTCCTAATCCATTAAAAAAAGAATCACACTAACTTATGGTTTCACTGTCTTAATGGGAGGAAATTAGATGGAGCCTAAATATGACTTTTTGCACAAAATAGGGAAAAAGAAACCAAAACCAAACTTAGATGTGTATTTAAAAACCTCTTCCTAGAAATCATAAGATCTAGTTTTATTGTCCAACCTGAATGAATGACTCTATAACATACAGATATGAAGGGAAATCTATTTTCAGAACAGTATTGTAAGATTTAAAAGATTTTGAGGCTTTTTCTAAATCCTGTGAGACCCTTCTTGAAATGTGGGAAGCAGTTCCCAGGTTTGAGGCAGAGTATGTAGATGTATGTGAAAAAAGCACACACTAGGCTTAAAATGCAGTGTGTGTCTGTATTTGCTTTTGACAGTCAAAGCATGAATAAAGCTGTTATCCAAAGCTGTCTGAAGCGTTCCAGCCCCTTGATGGTCTGTGGGACTGAGGGGCTTTCCTGTGTGTGTACAACATGGAGTAAGCCACCGTCTAAAACCGTCAGTGCCTCTGGATGGAAAAATACAGCTCTGTGTTATTCTTAGGAATTAGGATTGGTTTTTTTAAGCTTTTGATGTCTCCGATGTTATTCAGGAATAAAACAAAGAGTCTTTTTATTTTCTAAATACCTTCTGGTTTGATTTGGTTTTGGTTTTGTTCCCCCTATGACATACATCGTTTTTAAGAAGGGTCTTTCTCCTTAAAAAATGAAGTGTGTTTTTAAAGAGACCGTGGCTTGTTTTCAGTGTAGCTATGGAGTAAACTGAGAGAATGATGTTTTGGTTTTTTTCTCCCTTTTTAAATGTCTGTAGTCTGTACTACTGCTGTATGTATCACAGTGCCCTCGCCTGGCCGTTTTGCACATCACCAGTTTAGCATCCTGCTAGAAAATGACTCTTCGATCTTGTAGTTTCTGTTTAAGAAGCCCATTGTTGAAAATAATGGAAATGGTGACCATTTAGTCAGAAATAAGTTTTTCATGAGGTTCTCCAAAAAGATTTTCGTGGACTGGTTTCTTCATTTTTTGCATAAGGAATGAAAAGTCATTATTGCTCTACCTCTTCTTATTTCAACAGTCTACTGCATAAAGACAGTCTGAGAATTGTTTTAAAATCAAGATTATTTTAATCTAGAAAGGTAAAATGAGGACAAACAGTAAGTGGAATTTTTAAAGTATAAACAAGTCACTAGATATCTTGAGCTATTATTTTGGCAGTAATAAATTGTTTATAACCTCTGCATACTTCAGTTGTAAGTATTCCAAGTAGCTTAAGCTGTTCCAACCTTTAATTCCCTAAAGGATTACTGGAAGTGTCCCAAATGCAGCGAAATGAATCCTCCACTTCCACGCCATTGCCACAGGTGCTGGGCTCTTCGTGAGGACTGGCTTCCAGAAGAAAAGAGTGATAAACTAGAAAAGAGCAAATTTGAAAGTTCCCCCCCTCGAGAGTCTGAAGAAGGTTTTGATGTTCCTGACTGCAAGAAAGTGAAAATGACTGAAGATAAAGAGCCAGCTGTGGAAGAGAGTGAGGAAAAAGCAGTGCAAATTTCTGAGTCCCAGGAAAGTGAAGATTACTCCCAGCCATCAACATCGAGCAGCATGTTTTGTAGCAGCCAGGAGGACTGTAAGGAACCTGAGAAGACAGAAAGGCAAGACAAAGAGGAGAGCATGGAATCCAGCCTGCCTGTTACCAGCATAGAGCCCTGTGTCATATGTCAGAGCAGACCCAAAAACGGCTGCATAGTGCATGGCAAAACGGGACACCTCATGTCGTGTTTTACGTGTGCCAGGAAACTGAAGAAGAGGAACAAGCCCTGTCCAGTGTGCAGACAGCCTATCCAGATGATTGTGCTGACTTACTTCAGTTAGAAGGATGTTGAGTGGAAAGCAGCAAAAGAACTTCATAAACTGGTTAAGAGAGTAAGAAACTATTTTTGTATGCATATTGGAAATTAATATTAAAGGTTGTCTTTACATTTGCTATGAAAAGTGATTGCTGACATAAATGCACTGAAGTTGGTAAGAGGTTAGCCTAATATTCCTAAGTTTAAGGTTTTAAATGCCTCAGTAGAAATAACCAATTCCTGTGAACTACCTGCTTCTCCAAGTGTTTTGTGTTCCATACTAGTTAGTGACATTTGTTCTACTGGGTTAAATACATTAAATCTCCAATTCAGTGATTATAAGAGGAGAGGCATGTTGAAGTGTTTGTTTGTGTGACTTCCTCTTAAGATAGAAGTCTCTAGATTATCTGTGCCTGGTGAAGATGCCCGGCTCAGTCACAACCCTCTAAATAGGTCAATAAAATAAATAGAATTTTGTCTCCCTCATTCCCAAAACTTGTATTCCTCCAAATAGTCAAGTTACAAGGGAGATCTTACTAGGAAGATGGGATAGAAACAGATTCAAGGTTTTGGGAATAGACACGAGTCATATCTGTTGTAAATGTCACAGCTGTGTATATTCTGAGGAGTCATTGATCCAAGTTCAGTCTTACAGTTACCTCCTAAATGTCCTGAGAAAGTGGCTTTTGAAATGCTGTGGAGGTTTGGAGATCTGCACTACCCCGGTTCTTACTTTAGCAGTATGAGAAAAGACTTGGACAGGGAAGGTAAATGAAGGAGATGCTATGGCATGTCAAGTCAGGCAATATTGGGGGACAGTTGTATTCTTTTTCTGCACTGTTTCTGACTTTAGGAGTAGAGCATTGCAGCGTGATGACTGCATTTGTGTGCATAAAAATAGTAAGGGAAAAAAAAGTCCCTCTGAAGAAACAAGCTGTGTGCTTCTTGTTCACAGGCAGTTTAAATTCAGTAGTCTTGCCAGTTTGCACAGGTTTTATCTCTTGTGAGGATTTTGGGAGTGTGTTTTGAAGTGTTTGACCAACTCAAAATTACTCTCATTGGAGCTGTCCTGAACTGCTTTTAGGTCTATAGTCTCCTCACTGTATGTTCTCAAAAATGTTGTGAGACTTCTCAGTTCCTGTATTAAGGAGTCTGACCAGCTCAGTTCTGTACCTTCAGAGTAGATAGCGTGAATGTATTTATATAATAGTTACTCATCTGAGCCATTCTTCAGATGGAGACTTTCTGTACCAGTGAGTTGTACTTTTTCCTTGGGAAAACCATATTGCAAGAGAAAATGTATGGGTTTAGCAGCTTTTAATTTTACAGGTAGTTGCTGATCATCTGCCCAATAGAGAAGGGGAAATGAGTAGTCAGGGGATGCCAGGAATGGGGATGTAGCCTTAACTGCAGGACTTGTGATGTGGTACTGACCTGTAGGGTGAGGTTAAATGGCTTCCTTCACCAGTTCAGATCCATGGGTGTCTGTGTGCCAGTGTAAAGGCTTACTTCTACTGCTAGAGTTAGCTTCATGTCAAAGCTGAAATAGTCTGTCTCTCTGGTGGGAAGTGTCTATAAACCAGGGCTGCAAATGCCCACAAGTCAGGGGAGTGCTAGGAAAAGGCCATAAAGCTGCACAGAAACACTCGCTCAGTAAATCTGGTATTGTTACTGGCCTGGAAAGAAATACCTTCATAGGCAGAGGCTGAATTGCCAAATCGGTTGTGAAGTTCTTTGATCAGCAGAAACCTTTGCTGGGGTTCATGGGGTTTGATAATGAGCCCAAGATGACAGTGCAGTCCTTTGGGCAGCACCTACGTACATTTTTCAGGTAGTGATGCTTCTAATAGGTGGCTGCCTGCCTTAATTCACACTGCATCCTGTTTTTGTTCAACAGCTTCAACTGTCATATTGTCTCCTGTCATCTGCCCTTTGTAAGGGTGGTTAGTCACTGTGCTGCTTTAGGGAGCAGCTGCTTTTCCCTGGTTCCTGCTGGGATGAATTTCTTAATGAAGGTTGAAGAGAAAATGGAAGAAAGGAGGAAAGCAGTGATTTAGTACTGGTTAGAAAAAGACTGATTGAAATTAAGAGTTTTCTGAGTTAGCTTGATTCATCTGTAGCTGTTCATCTGCTTCAGTCCTCTTGATTCTGGAGAGGGGTTTTTTGCAAGGGCATGTAGGGATAGGACAAAGGGGAATGAATGGCTTTAAACTGAAAGAGGGTAGATTTAGATTAGATACTGGGAAGATTTTTCATCCCTGTGAGGCACTGGCATAGGGTGCCCAGAGAAGCTGTGGCTGCCCCATCCCTGGCAGTGTTCAAGGCCAGGTTGAACAGGGCTTGGAGCAACCTGGTCTAGTGAAAGGTGTCCCTGCCCAGGGCAGGGGGGTTGGAATGAGATGATCTTTAAGGTCCCTTCCAACTCAGACTTCTGTGTGATTCTGTGAATTGTACCATCCCACTCTGGCATTCTCCTCCAGTGAATTCCCTTAAGTGAGCTCCCTGTTTAAAAAAAACAGCTCTCAAAAGAGCATGTGTGATCAAAGTTGCTTTTTACTCAGCTTTGGGAATTTTTTTCAGGAGCAATTTCATCTCTTGGTAAGAGTTTCTCTTTTGGCAAAGGATAAACGGAGAGCATACAGCATGACTAATTTCTCCCTTTCACAGTTTAAAATTGTGCTAAAGTGCCCTGGAAATACGCTCCACTTCATGTAATGCTGAGGCAGTAGGCAATTTTAATATCTGCATCTATGGACAAAGCACTGAATCAGAGCAAGTCTTTGTTTTGAAAGTCATTTTCTGGCTTAGTACTATTCTTAATAACTTCTAGTAAGACTTTGGGGTTTGACTGTTTTGTTATGTGTTCTCCCCCAGCTTGCCTTGCAGATCTGGAGTGACACATATCGGTCTCTATTCCAGTGCCTGGGGTTTGTGGTGCTGCCACCCAAGCGCTGTGGCCCCAGGTCATTGGTCTGAAAGGCTGAAATCCATGGGCCTGTGCTTGGAATACATTGGGTGAGCATCACATGGCCCTGTGCTCCTCGTGTTGCTCCGGCCTGCACACACAGCAGAGGATTTGGCAAAGTTTTCCTATGGAAGTTGGTGGTTGTTGTTACTTTGTGGGGTCTTTGAGATCCTTATTTAATGTCACACATTTAAATCCTTAATTTATTGCCGTTTGTAAATACTGTGCTCACAGTGTTTTGAGCTTTAATTTATTGAATCAGTGTACTGGTACATGTGTAGATAGGTAAATATGCATACTTAGTAAATCACAGTCACAGGAAAATTATTTAAGATATTCTAGCAACAAGATAAGGAGAAATATAAAGAGATTACATTCAGATAAAGAGGGGCATAGAAAGATTTATTGCTTTGTTTTCTTTTTTTCCTTCCCTTCGAACAACTTCTGTGCCGAACCTGAGCAACATTTACTGACTAGAGATGGAGGCTGGTGTAGCATTAGCGTGATGGAAACAGTTTGATGGTATTTGTTTTCCTCTGGAATGTGTTTGCATATCAGAGTACAGCCAAGAAGCTGACTGGTACCAGCAGAGGTGGTGAGAGGCTTCAAGGTTAATTTGCAGCAAATGGTAATTGCTTTTGCCTTCAAACTCATGACCAAGAAAGCTGAAGGGGTGGCCAAAGGTTGATAGACAGGGCAGTTTTCAGTAACTGTCTTGGTCAGTTCCTTCATGCACTTAAATGGTAGTTATGTATAAATGCTACAAGAACTCACATTTATTCTTTTTTATAAAGTATAATAAACCCACGTTTTGATTAAATACAACTATTTCAGTAGCTAGCTATTTATTGGTATTGAAATTTAACTCCTGACCCAAGGAGGTGAAGCGGGAGGTGAAGTACATGAGGCAGATGGTAAAATGGCTTCGTTTCAGTGTAAAGCTTTTCTCAAAAGGCTGGAAGCAGTGTTGAACATTAAAATCCTTTAGAACCCTTAATACTGAGTCTTAAGATGTATTAGTTAGGATACCTGCTTCTTTTGGCCCTTACAAACCTTGCACAGCTGAAGCAGAAATAGCTGGACCGCCAGTTACACGGGACACTGAGGCTGCAAGGAACTGTAGCAGCAAAGAATCTGAGTAGCAGCAGCACCCCCCTTGCATGGAGTTTTAGTGTTGCTGATGAGCATGCCGGAAGAAGTGTATGCCATGCTGTGCTGTGCCGTGCCATGCAGGGGGCTTCTTCCCGTGGCAGGTTGGTTTGTAAGGGGTAAAAGTGCTGCAGAAAGGGCATTAGGTTTATTCTCAGTGTGGTAGCTTTTAGTGCTGGATTCGGTTTGCTCCTAATCTGTTGAAATTTGCTCTCTCCCAAATGTTTGTCCATGGCTATGAGGCCATGTGTGAGACTTGAGGCAGATTTTTGTCCCCTCAAAAAGTAATCTGAGGGAAAAACAATTCCTCATTCTTGCAGAAGGCATCAACAAGAATAATGTTTTCAGAAAATTGTGTTCTCACAAAAGAGAGAGAGATTAGAAAAGCATCAAAGCATAATGAAACTGAAAGGAAGAAATAGGATTAACGTAGGGGTGAAGAATTTTTCTTGCCCACCTTAATCTAAAGCTGGTGCTGCATCAGGGCATAACTTTAGCAGTAGAGTTTGTAATTTAAAATTTATTCAGCATATTAACATTTAGTTGTGCAACACTTGGCCTAAAATGGGGTATTTGCCGTTGCAGTATTTCCCTGTGAGAAAGAGCACTGGACACAGGCATGGGACTTGGAGAAAGGCAGTGTCATACCTGTAGCGCTGTAGGCTGCTCTCATGGTCATCTGCAGTGCCAGCATATGGATGCAGGCTTTGGGTGTTCGTAGTAAAGCACATTATGTAGCGTGTTTACTCTAAGGGCTCACGCCTTGCATTGCACATCCAGTTCCCGTGTGCCAGCGCTTCCCTGGAGCATCACCTCTCCTGGTGCTGGTGTGTCTGTGCTCTAAGGGTGACTGAGCAGCTCCAGCTTATCTGTACCCAAGGCAAAGTCCGTCCTTCACTTAAAGGTTGCACAAGCGACGTAAGGCAATAAACAAACCACCCACCCCAAAACTTGGGCTTAAGGTGTCTTGAACGATGGATCACACTTAGCAAACATGAAAGGCAACAATTTTTAATGCCTGTTTTTTCATTACTTTAGCACAGATGCACTGCAAGCTCCAAGTGATCGCCTCTCGTGTGTGTGTATATATATATATATACATATTCTACACATAAGATTTGTTGGTGATCCTTAAAAAGACACTGTCTCCCTGAGTAGATGCTGCTTTAGCTTCACAGCCTGCATTTAAAGGAAGATTCTTGGTTTTGCCACCAACAACATAACCCCTAAAACACCAAATAGCTTTTCCAAAAGCAGAGTCTTGCTTTGTTGTCTGACTGCACACAGCTGGAATGACTGTTAAATGGACTGGTTTGTAGTGAATTTAACTAACTGCACCATTCTGCCACTCCTAGATGAACATACAAGAGCTTTCCACAGCACGTAACTTCTAGTTACCCAGTGCACCTTACTACCACGGTCAGTAACTCCACTCAGATTGCACAGAGTATAGATCCATTTATGAAAAGAATATTCAGGTGTAATTGTGTTTTGCCTTTTGGTTCTCACTTTTTCCTTTTCTAAGGAAACTAAATACTATGTTCCATTTGAAAGCTTTAAATAAAGATTTGTTTATATTCTCCTCGGTGCTTTTCTCGTGTCAATGACTTGATTGTTGAAGTTCTGGTACCTGGTTTCACACACATTAATTCCATGAGCCAGTGCACTGCCTCTTTCTGCCCTCATTCAGCTGCTGGGCCACTGGCTTCTCACGGATTTATTTAATGTGTAGGATTTTAAACTCAAGTGCTCTCTCTTCCTCTTGTGACAGACCCAGAACCAAGTATCTGATGGGATTAGTGGAGAATTACTGACTCCACTGACTGGTAAACAGTCCGTAGCAGTTAAGAGTGGGAGAAAAGGTAGAGAATTCAAATGGATAATGATAAAAACACTCAAAAGCCAGTATCTCATTCCAGCCCAGCACTGCTGTTTTGGTTTCTGAGGTGCATTTACAGCTTCCTGTGCTGCATGGATCCTGCACAGCTGAGTGGTTAATGCTCAAGTGCCTGAGTGAGAAGGGCTTAGTGTGACAGGCAGGTGCAGCCACCTCAGCAAAGGTGATATATTTGAAAAGGCATTAAGAGATTAACTGAATTCCTGTGGGTATTTTATTTACCATGTACAGGAGAAAATTGATGTTCCCAAAGGTAAGCCCTCTTGGTCACTTTTGAAATTGCTTTAGAAAGTTGCTGGCAGATAGAGTTTTCGAGTAAACACAGGAGGAGATGGTACCAACTGGCTTTTCTTGATACATGTTTTTGTTGGACAGCTTCAAAGGGCCCTGAACATGACTTGCAGCTGACCAGGTGAAAGGAACCCAGTAATTGTGCCTGCAGCCCAGCCCAGGCAGGGCACTGAAGGGCATCGGCTGGCACTGGAGCCAGGCTCTGCACAGGGTTTGTGCCCCACTCTGTGCACTTCCAGCTCCCAGCACGGCTGATAGAGCAGGTTGTACAAACAGCATAGTAACAGGCCTGTGGAACACTGAAGCCACTTAAAGCCTCACTTCCATACCAAATCCAGTAAAAAATGGAGACCAGCAATAGTATAAAGCTGTCACTGGCTGTTTGGCTGTTCCCACATTGTTTTTAATACTGTGGCATGGGGGAACACCATTTTCAGGGACCCAAGTTGTTCTCTGTTGCATGGTAGCACAGCTTACCATCAAGCTTCCAGCAGCATGGCCCTTCAACATATACTTACACTTCATTTCCATGTTCTTGTCTTAGACCGTGTCTGTGTTACTGGGCTTCACCTTATTTCTGTCCAGGTAAGAAAGAGCATACGGAAAAACGCTGTTTTTCAGTGACTACAGCGGCTTTATTATGAGAAATGAGGGTTGGGCTCCTGGCATTCAGTTCAGTTGGGTCACACAGCAGCTGCCGGCTCACACAGGAGCCTGAGCTTGTGTGAAACATTTGCAGACAATCCATGACTTCTTTTAAACTTGGGCAAATTCTTCAGACTGTATTTGTGCATCACAATTCTACAGTTATCTCCATAGGCTGTACAGGGTGTCTTTAGAGTAAAATACGTAGAAAATATGATAGTCTTGTAATTAAAGTAAAACATTTGATTGTTGAGCCAGTATTTTACAAAATGCAAAAAACATGCCTGTAAATCTGAGAGTTTGGTTCATAAAAACATACATTCTTTTGCATATACAACTCCATGCCTGAATTTCAACCGCATTTGTGCAGGAAGATGTTGCCTTGCCACCTCATGTCATTCCCAGCTATTGGAAGATGACAAGCAGAACGGTCATTAAAACCAAGATGACATGGAAAGTTGGTTTTACCGCAGCTGAAGCCCATTGGAGCTCCTGGTAGAGGGGAGTTTTGGGACAAGAAGCAGCACTTGACCTGATAGAGACTTCTGGGAAAGTGAAGTCTTGTTTCAGAGCACTGAAGTTACCAGTGTTGTCATGTATTTCCACTGTCTTCAGGATGGATTTAAATCCCGGTAGAGTAGCCTAGGAGCAAACATGAAAGGTTTCTTATTGGTGTGAAATGTTGAGTTCAGCTGGGAAACAAACCATTGTGTGATGTGTTTGTTTACGCTTTCGACACATAGAGAAAAGTGTTCTAAACATAGAGAACACAGAATGAGGAAAGAGTATTTACAGCAAAAAGAACAAACTCCCCAAAACTGAATAGAAACAGAATGCATATTTATAATGGGGGGCACTGCATGCTGTGCAAGAGAGGCAATGTCACTTAAGCATAAGCCCTTGGCAGGCAGAGTCCATCTTGCTTTGATGTTTTCTGAACACCAGCATCTGAAAACTGCTGCAGAAGAGCCATTTCAACCCTGGGGAGTAACTGCCATGGAGGGTGGTGCCAGCCCAGGGCTGTGTGGGTCCCAGCCTCCCCCTCCTCACCCTTCAAGAGCTCTAGAGTTTGTTTCAGACACCTCAAGCTGGCATCACTGTGGTCCAGACGCTCATCCCAGCCTGCTCCACCATCCAGGTCAGACGAGTGCTTATCTCCAGACATTCTGGGGACTCAAGATCTTACTGAATCAAAAAACCCCTTCTGCTGACTCATATTTTAAGATATTTTCTTTCAAATCTGCTAGAGTCTTTACAGCTTCTGTACCAGTGTCTTGAGCAAGTTCAGCTCGTTCATCTGCATGGATGCAGTTTTGCTGTGCTCAGGAACACATCACCATTAGAAACCATAATTCAGTAAGGCTACACTTACATTGATCACATACGTCCCAGGCAGAAGGAGAAGAAAGTACTCCCCTTGTTCATTTGTTCTGTAGGGGCAGACATGAGGCCTTCCTTGAGCTTCCACAATGGCGTTGGGAATAGGATTCCCGTTCTTATCAGTAACTTGACCCTTGATACCTATCAAAAAGGCAGAGAAAGATCACAACCTCTAACTGTAGTGAGCCTCCTTCTCCAGGAACATCAGACTATTCTGTTGCTGGATGCACTCAAAGGCTACCTCACTGATCTCAAGCACATCCAATAGTATCACCAGTCACTCCTATCTTACTGAAGGGAATGAGAATAGAAAATCTGGTGGTGTTGTTCATAGCTTATGCTCACATTAAGTTAGAAGGCAGCAATGTAATCACCGATTCTAAATCTCAGCTGCTGAAAGCATCACATATACTTCTTGTCCGTGTCTTTTACTGAAGGGCTTCAATCTTCAGTATTGGTTTGGGGGTGGTTTTTTTTGCTACCTCTCCCCCTTTTCTTTCCCTCCAAATTAAAAAAATACCAGCCTTTTACCCGGTACTTCCCAATGTCAGAACACCAACAATGTCTGCCTGTGAAGTAGATTCCCTCAATTCTCACACACCTCCTTCAAGGCAGCACTGGCACTAAGCAAAGATAAACCAGCAGTCAGACATTCCAGGCAACAGAATGCAAGATAAGCAACAGACTTGTGCAAACCCTTCAACTCATTGCAAAGCACTACTGTTTCATTGAGCAGCAGCTCTCTTCCAACTGTGAAGCCAAAAATCACACCTAGAAAAGCCTTACAAAAATACAAAATCCAAGCAGCAAAGACCCATGAAACATGAACACACACACATTTAGAGACCTCTGAAAGAAATGGCTGTCTTTAGGCTGCTCAGAAAAGCGGGCTCCCTGGAGGTGTGTATGGAAGGACATCCCCAGGACCCGTCCCTTGCTCCTGCCCCAGTGCATTCTAAGCCACCTGCACTGCTGTAGTACTGCCCTACACCTAATATACCTGAATGCTCTCCTCCCTTACCCATCCCTGACCGTGTAGCGCTTGCTATTCAGAAGCAATTGCTCCAAAGTTTGCCCATTGGCCTGGCCTCAGCTTTAGCTCCCTTCCCCATGTGCACGCTCACCTAGATGTACTTGCTTTATATATTCGATCAGAGCAGCTTTGTTGTCTCTCCAGAACTTTTCCAGCTGGTCTGCTGGAGGATATTTACAGCATGACAGCTCCAATGTGATTTCAAAGCACTGTCCCCAGATGTAGTTGTAATCTTGCATTCCACCTTAAAAGTGAAATAAAACAGTGTTCAGCTGAAAAGAAGCACCAAGTTCAGGCTAGAAGAAAAATAGGAGAGTTAAGATGTTGTTACTTACATCACACCTGTAAGAAAAGTAAATCAGATAAATTTATTCCTCAATGCCACACTTCTATTTACTGCCTCCTGTGGAAAACCAACTTCATTGCTCCAGTTGCATGTTGAGTGTTATTTTCTAAAGCACAGAGCCGTTTGGGAATGATGACAATTATGTCTGAGGAAGGGTGGGTTTTTAACTTAAAGTCTTTCCAGCGCTCACAGATAGGGGGAGATAAATTCACAGCCTGGCATAGACTTTGCCACTGCCAAAGCCATCCTAAGAGCCTAGTAAGGCTTTGAATTCTGATTGTGACAGCAACACATTCTGCCACAGTACACAGGATAGTCTATTTGGCTACGCATAAACAGTAATGAAAACATTTATTTCAGTGATCAAACTGTAAAAATAAGGATGATACCTGAACAGAAGATTGGTTTTCTTTCTGAAAGAACAAGACCTTGGTGCCAAAAGGTAATCTATGCAGCTATGCCTTAGAAAGAGCACAGAAGCAGCCAGACAACAGAGAATGCCTCATGCACTTGTGCAACTGCTGACTGGGAGAGTCTGTTGACAGCCAGGTCCTGCTCAGAGAGTCAGTGTGAATGTGTCTTACTCCCCATGTCCCCTCTATTCTGGCACAGTCACAGCCCTTTCATCATCAAAGATGGCAGGAGAAAGTGAGAACATCATATCTGAAGCAGCTGAAAAACAAACACAGACGGCCTTACCTTCCAGCTGGTACCAGGAATACCCGTTGGTAATGCCATCTGGAAAGGTTTGTCTGTTGTCACACCCAGTCCCTTTGTACATGCTGGCATGATTGAAAGAATAGGTTTTTGCCAAATGGATAAAGACATCATCATCTGGAGACCTGCTATAGCCTTCCAAAGAGCCTGTAGCTGCAGGATGAAGAGAGCCACCATGTCACTCTTGTTACTGGTACAGTGCTGGCTTACATACAGCATAACCATCTCCAGGTAGCCATATCAGGCAGTGTTTCTCAAAGTCTGCCCACCTCAGCTCAAAAGCTGACAAAACCTTACCAAAATCCTTATAAATTTTGCTTTTGTATGGCTAACGTTCCTAGCCCACATCAGCTGTGGAGAGGAGAGCTCGGTACTAGCTTACCTGAGTTGCCATTATCAAAGGTGTAGCTGGCAACCAGGGCACCCCCATGCAAGTTTGCTGAAAGAACAAATGTCTCATTTTTTATCCAGCTCATGACTGCTTGAGTCTCTGGCTGAATGCTGGCGTTGTTACGTTCAAAGGCATCAGGAAAATTTCTGTTCAGATCTTCTCCGTTCTTATTGTACCTTAGAAAGAGAAGACATTCCCATTACTGCTTTTCTTATAGACACTTTCATGTCACCAGCCTCCCACTACTTCACATCTGTGGTGTGCTAGTGTCTTCAGGAAACAGGAAAGATGACCATTGTAAATCTCCTCAAGCATCATGAAGATGGACTTTAGTTTGTTTTGTGGCAGCACTGCAATTTCATAGGACACAATAAAACAATTCTGTTGTATAGCGCATATAGCATATACACACCTGCACATACATGAATTAGAAAAACCTAAGCCAAGTAAGGGGGATATTGTCCTTCTGTATGTGTTCTTCCCACCTGTATAGAAGACCAAGGTAACTACTGGCTGGCTGTGTCCCTTGTACTGCTGTCACTCTAGACAGAGAGAAAAAAAATCTGACTCAAACCCAGGATGTATACTCTTCTCCCCGTACCTGAAGGGCCAGCCTTGCAAATACTTTCTTCCTTTTTCACTCAAATAGGTCAGTACAAGAGTAGAGAGAATATTTAGTATCAGCTCTTTTAATTTTTAAACTCAAGTTAGTTAAACTCTGTTTATTTGACAGTGAGGGGATAAAAAAAAGATATCACCCTCCATAAAAGTCCTGTCTATTTGCTGAGGAATAAATGTATTTCCTAATAAAAAGGAGGGCCTGCACCAGTAACCTGGAAAACTAAATTACCTAAGCTACATTCTCACCTGCTTCTGGTGTTGCCATGGCCTAAGAGAACTTCTGGCTCATGAGTTTGTTTTTAGTGGATATTCCAATTTTGTCCCTTTGGCATTTCTTCCCACTCTCTCACTCACTCCCCCTTTTCCCTCTACTAGCTTGTTAAACTTTTCCTCTCCTCTTTGGTCTCTACAATAGTTACATTAAAGAATGCAGAAGCAGCACAGGATGCAATGCTAGGTTATGTTTCGTTTTGCATGTTTTTTCCAGAGCACTGTTATTAGCACAGCACCTATTAGAGCTACCTCTCCTCGTGTAACTCTTCCCTCTTACTACATCTGCATTCAATGTGATCTTTAAACATATTTTTGTAAGTCCATTCGACAAGCTGAGACACATCTTTTTCACATTAATAAAGGTTACAGAATTACCCAGTTGAAATAGAGCGCTGTAGGTGGAGTTTTCCTTTTTTTTGTAGCACCCTAAAGGTCTAAACAGGTAATTGTGCTTCTATTTGCTGTCTGGGTCTCCTGCCTGAAAGGTTAGGTCATTACACCATTCTGACCAATTTTCTTTAGCTGCACCACATATTAACACCAGTCTGACTCAGTCTTCCCAAAAACTCTATGCTGCAACAGTGTATCTTCAGAACAGCCCAGGCCAAAATTAGCCCTAACACATCCCCTGGTGTATCCACTCCACTGATCATGATTCAGTCTCTGGCTATCTCTGGTTATTACTCCCACCCATTTCCTTTACCTGCTCCCACCCTCCTAAGCCACCCTTACCTTCCTCGCGTGTAGTAACAGTCAGGAACCTTTGTAGCTTCAAATCCATCAGGATTCATTGTTGGCATGATATGAATCCGGGTATTATTGAGTAACCGGGTAATAACTGGGTCCCGCCTATAGCTGGTCACCAGGAAGTCTATCAAATGGAGCAGGATTTCTCTCCCAACAGTCTGTATAAAGAATCACAGATTCCATTTTAAGTTTGCTATGGAAGAAAAAGAAGTGAAAAAAAGACCTACTACTTTGCACTTACAGCTTTTTCTTACCGGGTTATACAGACATACAAGGCATACAAGAGCGTTCTGGTTAACACTGTTTTGTATGTTTTTGTATATTTATTTAATAGGTGAAGGAGTCACTGGAGGGTTTTTACACGTGTTTTAAACCCGTACCAACCAGAGCTCCTTCTGTTATGGGAAACTGACTATGTCAGCTGCACTGCTTTAATCCTGCATGGGTAAGGCACAGCCTTACCAAAAACTAAACCTGCAGAGGCTGCTTGTTGAAGGCAATGTGGGCTCAGAAACACACCAGAGTCACAGCTCTGTGCTGATGCCCAAGGCACCCTGAATCCTGAACATAAGCACATCTGTGCTCTGCAACACTACTTGGCAGGGAGGGTTCAGAAGAAAGGAAGGAGACACCTTCCATGATTTCCAGGGTGCTACAGACTAGGATTTTTCCTTGTTGATCCCCTTTTATGGGAAGCCAACTTTAATACAGAATCAAAAGAGGCCTCATAATCACTTCTGTTACAGCCTCTGTTGCACTACTTTATTTTAGTGCCATGAACACAGGCATTGGGGAAAACAAGCATATGTAAATCCTCAGAAAAAGAGATGGAAAGACATATGGATACAGACAGATCAAGGAAAGACAGTGAAATAGCTACTTATTTTTGTTCATGCAAGCTTGCATAGGTTGTGAAAACTGGCAGGACATCTGCCTTTAGTCTACTCTAGCACATTTCAAGCAAAACAGTGGGAAATTCCAGCTCCAGTGAGTTAAGAACAATCCTATTCTACACCCCAAAAACCACTAGTACAGCATTTACTAGACCATAATTCCCAGGAGCACTTTCTGTAGCACTGTGACCCATACCTCAAGGGGGCTGCCGGGTTCCTAAGCCCTAGCTGCAATGGGAACAAATCAAGACTTGCAACTAGATGTGCTCTGGAGATAACTTCTCCCTACTTTATCTACAAGAACAAAGCCTGGTAAATCACTGCAGGCTCTAAATCAAAGCTACAGCATCTCACTATCTTTGAGAATGAGTTTTGTATCACTAAAGTGAAAATACTGCAACTTTTTTTTTTTAATAAAGTGAGGTTCATGGAGCAGCATTACTGATGTCAAGGGTAAATATCTCCTTGTTTTGAGACTGGAACAGGCTAAGGGTAAAAGGTAGATGAAATCAAGCAAGGGAAAAGGAATATTTCTCCATAGCTTCACTGCACTAATGTCTTGTTGAATTTTCACATCAGTGCATTTTAAGTGGCAAATCCTGCTCTGGGCATTAAGACAAATAGGAACAGAGACACTGTTCTGCAGGAGCTGGGTTGGTATAACGAGGGCTAGGTGTAACTGCTGTTCAGGCTGGGACCAAACTGTGTCTTGCCACTTAGCTGGCAATTACCCTTTATTGCAGGAAAAATGAAGTTGCAGATCACACTGCTGTGCCATACTCCAAGGCAGCCGTGGTCTCTGAGTTGGTGTTTCAGGAATTGTACCATGCTGTTTGTACAGGAAAAAAAAAGGAGGATTTCTTCCCACCTGCCCTCCAGATCTGTTCCTAAATTTTCTAACCTTGCTTGTCAGCTCCTGCTGTCTCCTGCAAGCCACCATCCAATATTCTGCGAGGGGAAGCTACCTTACTCAAGTGCATATACCGAGTGGCTCTTTTCCTAGATATTACAGCAAGTGGGCTTTGAAAAGGGCGGGGGGGAAGTACCTAATTTCCTCCATTGCCAGTACCTTTCAAAACAGCACCTGAGTACGCTAAAGCGGACTGCTCTGCAGGTTTGATAAATTTACCCCATGAAATGTAGGAAGTGATGCTACAGAACCTGTCTTGCATGGGTAGTTCAGTTCCAGCTCTGATAGACATCTTGGAAAGCAAACGGAGCAGAGCAGGGGGGAAGAAAGGAGGGAAGATGAAAGATAAAGCTAGCAGACTTAGAAGCAGCATGAATGGCCCTACCACAGAGATTGCTGAGCTACAGACAAAACTGGACTGCTCTCTGGAGAAACAGGGAAAGTACCTCTGCTCCTACTATACTTCAGTGCCTGGCAAAAAGAAATTCAGAAATGAAAGAACAGAGAAATAGGAAGGGAGGAAAAAAAAGATAAAGAAAAGCAACAAAAGAAGGTGGTGGAAAAGATCATGTTCCATTGAACATTGTCCAGTTTTTCACAGGTGACATTCTTTGTACATGAAAGTTAAACCCAGACTTACATACATTATAGCATTTTAAAAACTAACCCTACTTCATAGGATGCCTTGCATACCTATTGTTGTATCCAAGTACTTCATACATAGAATCATCAAACAATTCAACTAATCTCTATCACAGAGAGTCGTTACGTTAATCATCCCTGGTGGGGAAAGAGTGTATTTATTACCACTGTGTTTTGCTGGAGTGACAGAGGGGAGGTTTTGTTTCAGGCCAGAGTACCCTGCATTTCTTGAGCGTGCACATCTGGAGGTGTTTGAGGGGAGAGAAAGGGAAAGCTTTTGCTCCTGGGAAAGCATAGCTCAAGTTTTGATCAAGATTTCAGCCAAGCTTTACCCTGGTAATAGAGAGGTCAGCTACACCTGTGGAGATAAGTTACAAGACTTTATTTCAGAGCCTCAAATAAAGGATCTAGGCACACTGTAAATAAGTTGCTGACAACAAAGTCAAGGACAGACACCTTAACTTGCCTGTAGTGTAATACAAAGATGTAAAGAGCAGGGAACAGCCTTTATGTGCTCTGGGGCTCTGAGAAGACATGATGAATATTTGGTTTTAATTACAGTATCCCAAAGGCGATGCCCAGGTGTATTGTTTTGCTATAGCTCAGATGAGGGGTGACATAAAAGCCAAGGAAAACACTTTCTCCCACCTCTGGGGATAGAGTTGAACAAGTTCTCTGTGCACTTTCAACTGACAGTTTCCTTGTGTGCCCCAAAGGGAGCCAGCAGGAAAGGCTTTCAGTGATCCTCAGGGAAGCCCCAAACAAAGCAGCATGCGTCAGGGCATGGATCAACGCTGTAGAAAAGGGTGTGACTGCTGTTCCTTACCCCTTAAACTGCCTGACTATTGCTTCTGGCACGGCTGGGTCAGCACCTTGCTCACTACTGAGGACTTACTCAAGAAGCCCTGACAGCAGCCAGTTAAAAGATTAAGGTTAGCTCCAATTGCACCTGCACTGTAACACTTCACTGCAGCACTCCTTAAAGCATTTGTTACCACATGATAGAAGCCTAATACCAGGGGACTATGGGTGGATAGACTCTGCCCATTTTTATGATCAAAATGCTTTCCTTAGCCATAGCCTGGTTTTTAAATATGTTGAAATAAAGATCCAAACCATCAGGTAGGACCTGTTTCAGGGCAACATGGTCTTGCCAGTTTCCTTGCTCTGGACCTGACTGCTCTACAGACCTAGCACAACATACCGGGCACAACCCCACCTAAGGAAGTGGAGTTACAGCAAAGAAACCAGTAGGCCATCCTGGTTTACCACTTAAAAAATAACATCTTGTAAGCATGGCATTTAACACTTGTACCTGCTTCACTGTGACACGCCCTGCTGTGTTTGTCCTTCTTTACTGGAAGCCACCAGTGTTAAAACAACTGTGCAAATACAGTTCAGCACATATCCATTTATTTCTACAGCAGCAATCACTATGAAAATATGATAACTACCACATATATGGCAGGGAATTGCAGTTTGTTGGTTTATTACTGAGGCAAATGGCAACATACCTATCTCTTGCTTTTGAACTAGTAACTGGCATAAGATGTTGCCACCTGCACAAATTCCACAGGCTTCTCAGCACAGTCGTCACCTGGAAATGGATCCCTTTTTCTTTTCCCACTCAGAAGAGTGGGAGTAAAGATAAGGAAAAATGCAACTGGGGTGAGGCAGTTGGTGAAAGAGATCTCAGCAGCAGCCAGCAGCGTAAGTCTTGTTAGCAAGTAGACTGGGTTGCTTTGAATTTTGAAATCTCTGGTGCTTTTGACCTTCTTTACATCACATCAGCTAATACTGAAGCCAGGTAGAAAATAGTTCACTAGACAAGAAATATTTCTCTTTTTTTAGTCTCTTTTCTAGAGCACGTATTTGTTTCCCTGCCACACCACTTCCATGTTTTATGACACAGTACAAAGGATAGAGGAATTTGTGCTGAAGATCCCATATAGCAGATTGTATAGCATGTGGACACAACACCTTCTGCCCAACCTGGTGATTTAAAAAAAAAAAAAAGCCCCCTTCATTTATAGTGGCATTTTGACAGCATAAATGCAGCTTCCATCCATTTTTCAGAAATCATTGAAGAATACTACATAAGATGTCTTAGTTTGTTGTTTGATTTTTTTTAAGCTCCAATTATATTGATCACAAATAAACCTACCCCAGTCCTCTGTCAGCCAAGTCCTAATAAGTCATATCTCAGGAAGCCCTTTTATGCATATGACTGTCTATGATGACATGGAAAATAGGGTCTAGTTGTTTTAACTTAAATCACAAGATAAGCCAGCAAGATACATGCTTTCATGTAGGTTGACTCAGGTCTATCAGCACAGGCTCAGCTACACATCATGAAAGAGGCAAAATACTATTACACTAAAAAAGTGATCAGAAATGGGTGATTTAGGAGGAAAGGGTTGGTATCACAGCATTACCATCAGAGTTTATCTTGTGATGGTACAATTACACTAGAGCTGCAGAAATTTAACAAAGCCATATACTTAATACATTAAAGGGAGCAAGCAGAAACACACAGGTAGTTTACACTTTGTTCAGATATGCCTTTCCTTAAAGGGTTTCTCAGCTGCGATATCCATGGGTTAGGAACAGCCTTCTAATTAGATCCCATGGTTCAGATGTGGAGATTGGACTTCAGCTACTGGCACAGCTGGTCAAAACATGGTAATTCTGCTCTATGTATGATTTAGGAGTA